TACGAAATCTTTGTAAACCAATAGGCAGTGAGTAGGGAGACCAATAATCTAGTGTCCTGTTTAGGTTTCATTTGATAGCTTTCTTGCCTCTCATTCAAAAGGTAGTGGGGCAGGACATTTTGCTCACAATCTGGGATGATACTCCTGTGTAGCACCTTTCACGTCAAGAGGAGATCCCAAAGTGCTGAACAGACAAGGGTTTGTGCCCAAGCTGGGGATTGGAATTAAGAGGGGTGAGGTCAACGAGGTTGGGGGTGGGAAGATGACCAAAGGCACTTTCAAAAATGAAGGTCTTGAAACGGGCCTTGAAAGAGGCAAGGTAGAAGGTGTTCAAATGCTTTTTCGAATATACAATATATAATATAAAATGTTCAGCCTTCAAGTGCCTCCACGGCCTTGCTCCATCCTTTCATCCTAATCCTCTGGTCACTTTTGCTGTCAAGTGAATCATCTCTATCTTTTTTAGTTTGCTTGGAGAGTGTTTTATTGCCTTTTCCTGTTCCCCTTCAATTATGAAGGATTCCTGTAGCTCAGTGGTGAGAGCACTCGCCTTGCAAGCAAGACACCTGGGTTCAATTCCAGGCAGAGAGCGAAACCTTGGGCAAGTTTCCTTACTCCACACAGAGCCTAATAATAATCCCTCCAAAACCAAAAACAATAATAATTTGGTCATTTTCAATCCTCGACTGTTTGTGGGTCACTGCTGTGCACAATTGGCTGCTGCGTTTCGCCCACAAATCTACAGTCAATTCACTTTACAGCATATTCTGTGAAGCGCTTTGAGACGTCTAGAAGACATGAAAAGCGCTATATCAAAAGCAAAGATTATTATTATTATGGGGCAGTACCAAAGCTCAGAACTGTGTTTCAGAGTGTCATTTATCTAGGATCTTGCTAGGCTGAGAGATGATAATAATCTATGCATTTGATTTAGCATCTGTAACATCAAAGTATCGTGAAACACTTCATAAGGAAATTGTCTATTTTGTAGACAAACCTAGCAGACAATTTGCACACAGCAAATTCCCACAAACAGCCCATAAAGTGAGCGACTAATATTATCAGATGGATTGTTGACCAGGACACCAGGATCTTATAGGTCTATAATTGGCTGCCTTGATTGCCTTCAAATATACAGTTACTACACTTTAGAGTATGTGTCCTCTTATGAACGTTGAGCTGTTCTGGGATGCTTCCCACACGTGCAGTTTCCTGCCCTTCCTCACATGCAGTCCCTTCTCTGCTCATTCAGGTTTTTCTCTCTCTACTCAAAACACTCTGCAACTGCCGACACTGTGGCTATCTGACTCCAACCTCAATGGAACAACAACAAAATTGCATTTGTATAGCCCCTTTCACGTTGAGAGGATGTCCCAAGGCGCTGGACAGTCAGTGTTTCGGACCCGAGCTGGGGGTCGGGATTGGGGAGGGTGGAGGGCAGGTGGAAAGCAGGGTGATCGAAAGCACAGTCGAAGAGATGGGTCTTGAAGGTGGCAAGGAAGGGTGCAAGGTGGAGCGACTGCGAGATGGAGTTCCAAAGCGTGGAAGCAGAGTGGCAGAAGTCCCGCCTGCCAATGGTGGGGTGGGCAAGGCAAGGGACGTGGAGCAGGCCAGAGCCAGTTGAGCGGAGGGAGCAGGCAGGATAGTAAGGGGGTATGAGGTCGCAGAAGTAGAGGGGAGCAAGACCATGGAGGGCTTTGAAGGTGAGGACCAGGATCTTGAATTCTGTCCTCTGTGTGATGGGAAGCCAGTGGAGACGAGTGATGTTATGAATGCATGTATGAGGGAATAGTTTTTCCTATTTAGGCTCCTTAGGAATCTTTAACACAAATCCCCTCTCAATCTCCTCTGGCCTAGTGTAAATAGCCCCAATTTACAACATCAACTTGCATTTATACGAGGGACAGGGTCTCGGAGTACTTTGCCAGCTTCATGCATGTATTGCCTCATTCCTAGCACCATTTTAGAGAATCTGCACTGCAATCTTTCTGTCTCTGACATCCTTCCTGCAATGATATCCTTCCTGTAATGACATAGCCAAAACTGAATAAACCACTCCATTTCAGCCAAAATAATGTTTTATGCAATTCCATCGTGACTTCTGTACTTTTGTATTCACAAATTGTGTATCAATCTCCGTTTACTTCCTTGATGGCTTTGAACTTATTAATACGTTTGCCTTTTAATGTACATGTCTGCTAATGTTTCTGGGCACAGCCTCTAGCAAACCACAGGCTGGTTGTTACTTCCTCTTCCATTGCTTTGTCCTCATTAGTTCTGACATTTTAATGCTGTGTCTGATGCATTAACTAGTTTCTGGAGGTCTTTCATGCACTGTGATGAAGTTCAGAATTATGTTGCTATCTGTTTCACCAAAAAGAAACTTATCAACAACAACAACAATTTGCATTTATATTGGACCTTTCATATTGAGAGGATGTCCCAAGGAGCTGGACAATTAAGGGTTTGCACCTGAGCTAGGGGTTGAGTGGGGGCAAAAGATGGCACTTTGATATTTTGAAGGGTCAAAGGATCGTGCGCCAAAGGCAACTTATACAGCTAAATAAATCTGAGCCAATATAGTTTTTGAAGCACTGGGACATTTTTAAAACTTACTGTGTTTGTGGAGTGGGTGATAAAGGACTAGGTTCTTATAACCTACTCTTCACTGTTTGTTCAAAATTGGTGCTTTAGTATAGCACCCGTAAAAGCTTTCATACAGTTAACCTTCTGTATGTAATTTCATGCTTCCATAGATCTGCCTTTCTACATTGATCCGAAAGGCATGATAATTTGTTTGTAAGCACTCAGTCTTTCTCCTGAAGTCTTTCTCCCAACATGAAACTGAAGTCCAAGATAACAATATCCTAAAAATAATATTTTTTACATTTGTTATAGCATTTTATGTCATTGACGTCTCAAAGTAGTTTACAGGATACAATGTAAAGTGTAGTGATTGTGTAATTGGAGGCGAACACGGCAGCCAGTTTGTGCAAAGTAATGTCCCACAAACGCCCATGAAGTGAGTGACCAATTTTATCTGGGGAATTGTTGGCCAGGACACTGAGAAATTCCCTTCTCTTTTTGAGTTCTGCCATGGGATCTTTAACTTCCACCTCGAAAGGGCAGACAGGATCTCGGTTTAACATCTCATCGAAAGGACGGCACCTGCAACAATGCAGCAATCCCTCCCCAAACCACTGCATTGGAGTGTCAGCATAGTTACATGAATTCATAGTCTAGATGTGGGGCTTGAACCCACAACCTGATTCAGAGGCACCAAACTTATGTATTCAAACATAATGAAGTCATCCGATGCATTCACATTTCCCTCTAAACTATTTTAAAATGTTCATATAGATGATGTTTGTATACATGGCTCAGGTTCATTAACCAAGGAAGGAAACAAATCATTTTCACTGAGCATGGTGTTTGACTAGTTGTTACTTAAAGATTGAGAATAAGAATGATGGAGAGGATAGTGGAGGGAGGAAAGTTGAGTGATGGTGAAGATAGTGGAAGGAGGAGAGAGAGTGAGTGATGGTGAAGATAGTGGAGGGAGGAGAGAGAGTGAGTGATGGTGAGGATAGTGGAGGGAGGAGAGAGAGTGAGTGATGGTGAGGATAGTGGAGGGAGGAGAGAGAGTGAGCGATGGTGAGGATAGTGGAGGAGAAAGAGTGAGGGCTAATAACAACATAAGAACATAAGAATTTGCTGGGCGAAAGAAGACCATCTAGTTTGCCTTCCACCAAACCTGACAGTCGTTTGACATGTTGCGTCCCAAACTATATGCTGTTTCCTGAGATATGATTTTCTAGCAGAAATCTATCTAATTTATTCTTGAAACAAATTACATTTTCTGCTTCCACTGTCTCCCGAGGGAGCCTGTTCCATAAGTTTACTACTCGCTAGCTGAAATAGTGTTTCCGCAGATTTGTTCTGAATTTACCCCTCCTTCATTTGCAGGCCGTGTCCTCTGGTTCTGTTCTCTGGATAATAGGGATGTTCAAAAAGATCTAATTAGCTGGTGAACTCCACACGTGAAATGCACTATACAAATGTAACTTAGTTGTTGTTGATGATGGACTGTATGGCTTCCTGTGTTCCTATGGCACACCTTGGTCACAATAGTTCTTCTCTCCGCAGTCATGCCCCATGGTGCCCAGCGTGTCAGCAAATCCAGGCTGATTGGGAGAAGCTTGGGAAGTTGAGTGAAACAATTGGCATTCGTGTGGGAAAAGTGGATGTGACTCGTGAACCAGGTTCGCTGACATGTTCTTACTGCAGCTAAACATTCATATTGTTTTAAAATATCATAAAACTTGTGATTTATGTTTTTTTTGTACTGTGATTTAATTTATATTAATCCTTTCATTTGATAAAGTGGCCTCATCAAGTCGTCGCAACATTTCAAACCGCTTCACAGGATTTTGCTCTGAAGTGGTGTGACTGTATTTTGTGGGCAAACATGGAAGCTAGTATGTACACAGCACTGCCCTGCATACAGCCTTGCAGTCAGTGACCAATTTTATCTGGGGGATTGTTGACTTTTTGATCCATTTCACTTCACGTATCAATTATACAGTATAATATGATAACGTTGGTCATTCATTTCACGGCTATTTGTGGGATGTGCTAATTGCGGATTGGTTGCCATGTTTGCCTAGAAAATACACATTCAATACATTTCCTAGTAAAATCCTGTGAAGAGCTTTGAGACATCTCGATGATGTGGTAAGGTACTTTTATCAAATGCAAAAGTTATCACCATCTGTGGCTAGCATCATTTTTTAAAAGAAAATTCAAGCACACAGCTGGCCCTGACACCTGAGTTATTCTGAGAATGAACTATAGAATGGAAATAAAGTGCATTTTAAAGAATATTTTAAAGAATCTTGTCTGTAACGGTGTCTGAAATTGGACTTAATGCTGCATTTCTATCTTAGGTTTGAGCGGCCGTTTCTTTGTGACCACTTTGCCAACCATTTACCAGTAAGTATAATGACTGACTAGAGAGAGTGTGGCTTGCTTAAAGGGGCTCTGCGTCATTAAAAAGCATTCGGGCAAATCATTTCCAAGACTGCGAACGGTGGGCCTGTGACACTTTGTCTGAAATCACGTCAATGCCAGTGTAATGTAATGTTCTGCCGTGGCGGTAAAGTGTATATGTGTATATACAATAATACAGTCTCCGCTAACACTCCAGTGTAGTGATGGGAGAGTGCTGCATTGTCAAAGGTATTTCCTTCGGATGAGACAGCCTGTCTGCGCGTGTTCAGGTGGATGCACTCTTCTGCTCCCCTAATTCTGGAGAGTATTAGGTGCAGATTGGCAAGAGCTAAGGCTTGGGGGACACCAGATGTGTGTGCTCGGGTAACTGCTGGGGTTTAATCGGCAAAAAACACAGCTTGCCATTAAGAGCATGGTCTGGCAAGCTTCCCTCTCCTTGCATAGATACATAGACATAGAAACAGGAGTAGGCTATTCAGCCCCTCAAGCTTGTTTTGCCATTTTATAAGATCATGGCTGATCTATACCTCAAGTCCAGTTACCCGCCCTTGCCCCATATCCCTTAATACTCTGACCTAAGAAATACTTACCTACCTCCTTGTCCAGCTAGGACTACCTTGCCCCAGCCCATGGTGATGGACAGAATTTTGATCCTGTTTAAAATAAGTTTGATTGACTCTTGCTTTATTTTACTCTGAACAGTGCCAAAGACGGTGTCTTCCGGAAATACCATGGTTCAAGAGTGCTCCAGGATTTTCAGAGCTTCGTAACAGAGAAGAAGTGGGAGACGTTGGAGTCAATCAGTGGATGGAAATCTCCATCATCTTTCGCGTAACTACTTCATTCCATTCTAACATATAAAAGGGTCCTTTTGACTAACTTACATTGTGAAGTGGTATGTGTACTTGTATTGTCTGTACACTAATATAGTCTCAGCTGACACTCCAGTGCAATGTTGGAGGAGCGCTGCATTGTCAAAGATACAGTCCTTCAGATGAGCTATTAAACCGAGGTCCAGTCCTGTGGAGAGAGGCAAGATATGATGTAACGTGACTGATTCAGAAGGAAGCTTTTTTTCTGATTGGTGTCTGACAAGTGGAAACACATCATTTGCTTGAGTTTCTAAGCCAGACTGAGCTCCATGTATGTCATCTACAGGTGGAAATTCCCATGTCTGGAATGGAACGTACACTCTCTCCCGGAGGAACGCATCCTGCTTACCTAATTCTGGGGAGTAATAGGCACAGGTTGGCCAGAGTCATGGTTTGGGGACTCCAAGGTGCAGCTGTTGGAGTTTTAACTAGCTAAACCGCATATCTTGATATCGAGAGCACTGTTTGGCAAGCTTTCCTGCTGCTTGTCCAGCTAGGACCACCCTACCCTTTAGAGCTTTGGCTCGCAGGGTTACCAGGAGCTGAGTAGGAGGATTCCCTGCTTCCAGTGACTGGTTTGCTTCTCTTAAGTCCTGCTGGTGAGCAAGGCTGGCTGTGCTGTCATCAGGAGTGTCCTGGAGTAATGTAAACCCGTCACAGAAGATTGACTTGATTCTCACAGAGATAGTTCTGCATTTAATAATTTTTTGAAAACCTAATGACAGATGCTTGAACTGATCACCTTTTCATCTCATGAACTTTACTGAACAGTTTTGTGAATTTTGCCAGTTTTCCCTATTACCTGGTATTTAGCTTTAATGAAGCCTGCGTAAGATTTATTAATTTTTGTCTTTTTGAAATCTTTCTGTAGCATGTCCGGGATGGCAGGTCTTTTCCGACTATCAGTGTGGATTAGAGTAAGTGTGAACTGGACTCGCCATGCGGCTTCTCTTGAGAATTTCTTTGCAGATATAATTTGGTGACATTAATGCAGTGAAATCCTCTTGTATATAAATCTTGTTGCACAATCTGAAATCAAGTGCAGTGAAAGGTAATCAAAGTTAAAACGGGTAGAGACATCCCAGTGGAGTAGTTTTCTTCAAAGTACGCTTTTATTTCCTACAAACTATAGCCTAATCTGTTAACTATGCTGTTAAAATATATTTATTACTGATGCTTCAAAGTAGTGTGAGGAAATAAAAGAATTGTTCAGAAGGTGGCAGATAGGATTTTTGGGGGGTTTATGACACATGCGGAATACTATCACCATGCTTAAGAGTATCCAAACTAGTCAGAGCTCCATGCATCCTATCTACACATGGGAACATTCAAAAGTATATTCTATGAAGCCCTTTGAGACATCTAGAAGCTGTGATAAGGCACTATATCAAATGCAAGGATTAGTATTATTATTTATTGGAATGGGATGCGCACTCTCTTCCTGGAAGGGTGCATCCTGCTTACCTAATTCCGGAGGGTATTAGGCACAGGTTGGCAAGGGCCAAGGCTTGGGGATCCCAGAGTGTGTATTGGGGTAACATTGGGCTTCCCGCCCTACCCATCAGGCCGTTGGAGGGTTAACAGGAGCTGAGTGACTGGTCTGTCCCTCAAGGTAAAAAATGAGTAAAAAAGAAAGAGCATTGCAATAGATTTAACAGTCAGTCAAATGGCTTGTTTGTTGTGCCTGTGTGTGATTGAAAACGTGATGCTTTTTTTTTACACAGGAAGTACACAGTTACTTGACTGAGACCCTCGGAATTCCGGTTTGGGGGTCTTACATTGCCTTTGCTATGGTTACACTGCTGGCTGGTCTCATCCTTGGCTTGGTAAGATGAAGACCCTTCGCATGTCTCTCGATTTACCTCTGGTCAGTCATGGGATATCCTGATCAGTGTTATTCCTGGAGCTGAGCTGGGACCAGACAATATTGACTTTCATTGGGTTTAATATTAATTGAATCTTGATTAAGAAACAGCCATTGAGCCAGTCTGTCATTGTCTCGGCATCCAGTCTTCTACTCGCCCATTGCTGATTGCTCACATCTCCTCTATTCAGGTGTCAGCCTGGCTCAGTCAATAGTTCTCTTGCTTCTAAGTCAGAAGGATGTGGGTTCATGAACCACATCAGGACTTTGCACTGGTAGTCTAGGCTGACACTTCGACACAAACACTGGGATAGCACTGCACTGTCAGAGATGCTGTCCTTCGTTTGAGACATTAAACTTGAAGTCCCATATGTTAGTTCAGGTGGATTTTAAAGATCCCATGGCACTATTCAAAGAGAGTTTGTCCCAATATCCGGACCAACTTTCGACCATTGATTTCATGGATGCTTGTGGGACTTTGCTGTGTGCAAATAGGCTGCCACTGTTCACAGTTTGTGGGCCCAGATTTCAGGTGTGCTATAATTCCAGATATTTTTGCATATCAATTTGGTTTGCATAAATCACCCTTTCTGAATAAATCATCCAAGATTTTTTTAAAAATTCTTAATCACTCAGTTTTGACTTCCATCTTGTCATTTCAGATTCTGGTGCTTATTGCTGACTGTTTATGTCCAACCAAGTCTAAATATAAATCCCAGGTGACCGGTAAGAATGACACTGTTATTTCATTCCATGGTAATGTGCTCTGATGTTTGTATTTCAAACAGTGCCTATAATGTTCAATGTTTCAAAGTGCTTCATAGGTAATTGTTGTCAAGTGTAGCTGCCCAGGGAGAGACAGTGAGGATGTAATTGATGAGACAGTGAGAAAATAACTAAGGAGATAGAGAGAAAGATACACACATTGAGGAAATAACTGAAGACAAGAGAGAGAGAGCGAGACAGTGAGGAAATATCTGATGAAAGAGAGGGACAGTGGGGAGGATAATCTTTGTATTTGTAGGGTTTTTTCGTTAGATCTGACACCATGCTTCAGAGAATCCAAACCAAACAAAATTCCACGTATACCACCTACAAATGAGAATTCCTGTGTCTGGAACGGAATACGCACTCTGTCGCTGGAAGGACTCGCGCTGCGGGAGCAATAGACGCAGGTTGGCAACAGTCACGGTTTGTAGACCCCAGACTGTGTGTTGGGTAACTGCAAGTGAAATCTACATAACTTGCTTTCGAAAGCAGTGCCTGGCAAGCTTTCTGCTGCTTGTTGAGATGCCAATCTGCACTCTATATAAATGTGTTGGTGTTGAGCAGCAAGGACTCAACCCGAGGGCTTTGATTTTCAGGGTTCAAAGGAGTTGAGTGGAGAGAATCCCTGCCCCTAGTGAATATTCTGTCTTTCCTAGTTGTACCGATGAGGCAGACTGGCTATGCTGTTACCAGGACACTTATGTCCGCTCTCCCCAGAGGATAATAATAGTAATAATAATCCTTGCATTTGATATAGCGCTTTTCACGTCTGCTAGATGTCCCAAAGCGCTTCACAGAATATACTGTAAAGTGAATTGACTGTATATTTGTGGGCGAACGCGACAGCCAATTGGGCATAGCAATGTCCCACAAACAGTCATGGATTGAAAATGACCAATTTATTATTGTTTTGTTTTTTGGAGAGATTATTATTAGGTGTGTGGAGTAAGGAAACTTGCCCAAGGTTTCGCCCTGCCTGGAAATGAACTCAGGTCTCTCACTTGCAAAGCGAGTGCTCTAATCACTGAGCTACAGGACTCCACTAGTTGGTCATTTGACATCCAACCAGCACAGGTTTGAGCCCTCATTAGGTGGATGGTAGGTACCAGGAGTTTCCTGATAAGCAGCACAGCTCAGCATGAAATGCGTGAGAGCATTTTATCTTCCTGCCCACAGCTTGAACACACATCTCTACCCACTTGGTTCCATCAGTTAGAGGTGTGGAGGGAAGAGAAGCTGGGGAGGGTTGTAGGAGAGGAGTGAAGGGAAGGTTGGGGGCACAGAAGTAGGGCCATTAGCTCAAGTCAGTGGTGGCAACTAAAACCTTTCATGTTAAGACTACGAACGAGGTATCAGTGCGACATGGCTCAGGCTCGCTGGCTTGGAGGTGACTTGGGGAGACTGTGTTGTATGTGTGTGTGGGGTGGGGCAGGGGTGAGAGTCTTATGAATTGCTGGAAGTAGTGCTCAGAATTTAAATTATCTATTGATTTAGGCATGTGTTAGTTAGATGGGTTGAGTGAGGTATTAGTGGTAAACAGGAAAATACAGTATAAAAAGAAAATTATACTTGGCTTTTTTAAAAATATAAACCTATCTTGTGACGTCATGCAGCAGATTTTCTTCTGGCCACTGTGGCCTGTGCAATTACTCTTTCCGTCTTGCCCGATGCCTTGGCCCCAACCTTGCTTGACTCATCTCATCTCCTTTCATCTCACAGCCTACTGACTCGGAGGCGAGAGTGCTACCAACTGAGCCAGGCTGGCGGTCACCTTTTGTGACATTTCATTGTGCAGTAAATCTCATCTGTACATCTGCCCAAATCCCGTTCAGGAGTTTATATTCTATGCAAGTTTGACATAACTCATACTTCGCATTAGTCATATAAAATGTATGATTCCAATTGATGATAATATAATAATTTCACTGTCATGTGACTTATGTGAGGCTTGTTGTATCTTCTACATATATTTGTAATTTTTCCATCATTGCGTCTTATCTCTGCTCCGTGTTCTGACAGAGACCACAGAGAAAGATGATGAAGATATGGAAGATGAGGAGTCCAACCATCCCCAGGAGGAAACAGATTTGGATTGGGATTTGAGAACAGCCGAGGGGAATAATTTGAGCGACAACAACTCGGGAGATGATTCTCCTCAGGAGGAGGCCTCTCCTGAGGAAAATGTCTGTTCTGGGGAAGATGCCTCAAGAGGAAAAGAATCTACGAATCTCAATCAACCGTCGTCGGACAGCGAAGAGGAGACATCAGTCAGAAAACGCAAAACGATAGAGAATTTGTAACTGTCAACAAATACGTTTTGATTTTTTTTAAAAAACAAACCGAAATCAGACCAAAGAATTGAGTGTGTACATCTCTGCACACTCTTCCGTTTCAACTTGTAGGGACTTGGTTGCATTTGCATTAACATTGTCTTGTTCATGACGGACAATCACAAGCTAAATTGCCTGTTCCGGTCTTTCTCCTCTTTTCCTCAAGCCCCCCGGCTCTTGCTGGGGTGATTAGTTTCTCGCTCAGTTCCACACCCAAGCAGTCAGTCTTAGTGGGAACCTAGAGCGCAAGTCGGAATTCTGGGTACGTCACAAATTCCCTACATTATTGCCAACGTTACGACAGCCAGAATAACAGGGCCTCAGTCATTCCCCTTGCACTGCAAGAGGCGTGGTTTGAACAAAATGATTTTTTTTATTTTAGCGGCGTTCAGCTTTTGTAAATCCTGTACATTGAGCCTGGGCATTTTTCTAATGAAATTCAAGTGAATTCCCCATCCAGATCTGGGTATTTTTGACTGACACAATTCTCCAAAATTGTGAAACACCAGAATTCTTCACCAGAGTATTTCCTTCACATGGACAATGATTGTAACTTTCCATTTGAACAAATGGCACAGATTCCAAATACTTTCAATAGACAGAAACCAAAAAGTATTTCAGCAGTATTCCTTTTCAGCATTGTGTGTAAACCATGTGTTCAAAGGAATATAAGGGGCTTTTAAATAATCATGACTCTGGAATGACTGGTTGATTTGCCTCGTTGATAAAAGTTTTTGAAACAAAAACATATTGCAAGTCTGCAGCATCAGATGTTTCGCTGGTCACTGAATCGGGCTAAAAGCTGTTGGAGGCAATAGAATTACAGCAGCAAAGAAACAGAAAGCTCTTCACCCTCCAATTTACAATATCATTATTGCCCTACCTACCGAAAACGTTCACTTTTTTATGAATTAATATCTCAACAATTTTTGCATGAAGCTGAAGACTATTTCTAGCTGTTATTAACAAAATTTTTGCCAGGTTTGCATTTGATCTTGGAGTACTCGGTATCATAAAATATGGGGCTGAAATTTAAAAATATACTATTTTTGTACAGAATTTATTTCTGGATTTATTACTCAACATTGGTGAGGGAGAATACATTTTAAACAACCTTTCGCAATTTGGTGAGATTGGTGTTGGGGTGTACCTTTTTATAGGATGAATGCAAAAGTACTGTTACGTGTTATATTTTGTATAGGTTGTCTGGCTTGGCTTTGGCTCTTTACAAGGTAAGTAGATGCTTCCAAAAAACTTGCATTCATTCAAAAAGACTCTACATTGTAACTGCAATGAATACTTTATATATTTTTCAGCTACAGTATTGCAGTTGTCATTAAAACTTGCTTTTTTTAGTTTTATTCAAGAAACTTCCCTCTCTTGCAATGTTATTTGAATCGCACACTTGAGGCCCCAAACTTTTGAGAAAGAAAAAAGAGCCATGTAAAAATGGACCAAAAATACATTTGCTGTCTTTATGTTTGAGGTTTATATTCAGAATAAATTATTGTACTTATGGAAGGCAAAACTATTGTATGCACCGTTGCATGCAGTGGTGCATTATGTTCTGATTAAACAAGTTCGCAAAGTACGCGTTATTTCTGTAAACCCCATTCATTTCTATTAATGGTAAAAAATAAAAGCATGTCTTTTCTACACAATCTGTTACGTTCTGTTTGTGTGAAGTTAGCTGTTTTTTAAGGTTGGAGCATTGCCGTTAAGCGAATGAGTTAGTGCGTCAAAGGTTAGTGAATTCCTTGCATTTGATATTGTGCCTTAGCACGTGGTCAAGATGTCTCGTAGAGCTTCAAGATTTTACTGTGAAGTGGATTAATGAATACGGCAGCTAACGTGCACACAGCACAGTCCCACAAACAGGCAAGAAATGAATGACCAATTTTATCTGGGAGTGGGAGATTGTCAGCCAGGACACTGGGAGAAACACTCTTCTCCTTTTTGAGACTTGCCACAGGAACTCAGTTTAATGTCACATTTCAAGGTTGGTTCAGTTGATGAAATAAGATGTTAATTCTTAGGCTAAATGAGACGGAAGAAAAATTATAATTAAAGATTATCAATGTTAGACAGACTAGAAAGTGAGGGTGAATACAACTCAGATCTGCTGCACATTCCCTGACCCCTTGTATTTTACAATCGGTAGCTGAACTTTCAGCCTTTATGCACCTGCTCTCTGGAACTCCTAAAATCCGTTCCCCCTGTGCCCTCTCTCACTGCTTTCTCCTGTGACACCACTCAAATAAAATGAGCAAATGCTCTGAACTTGGAAAAAGTTTTACCCTTATGCTGGGTTCACAGCCACCTCTCTGTCCTCAATCCTCTGTGGGCTTTTACCCTCCTGACTTGAAAGGCGCTATACCTTTCTACTACATTCACGTCACTTAATTGTACCTGATTTGTGGAATGTTGGGGGTGGGGGGCAGATTTCCCCCTCCGGATGCCCCCTTACTGATGGGTAAATGCTGGCGACAATCCACGACTGTTTGTGGGACATTTGTTATGTGCAATTGGCTGAACGCTTTGCCCGCAGAATATGTAGTTAATCTACTTTACAGTATACTGTGATGAGCTTTGAGACGTGTCACCGCATGATAAGAACGCCTTATTAATAATCCCTCAAGAAAAAAAACCAATAATAAATTGGTCATTTCTAACCACGACTGTCTGTGGGACACTGCTGTGCGCAATTGGCTGCCGCGTTTCGCCCACAAAATACACAGTCAATTCACTTTACAGTCTATTCTGTGAAGCGTTTGAGACGTCTCGAAGACGTGAAAAACTGTATATCAAATGGAAGGATTATTATTATTATGATAAGGTGTATATCAAATGGAAGGATTATTATTATTATTATGATAAGGTGTATATCAAATGGAAGGATTATTATAATAATCAATCAATCAATCAATGACGGGGGGCGGGGCTCCAGTCACGTGCTCTAGTCTGCGCGCGCGCCGCCGCACAGACTGCTGGGAATGGTGGTGAGCGCGAGTCTCGGTGGCACCGGCGGTAACGGGCGGTGACCGGACAGCAGAGCCTCCGCCGCTCCCGGCGCCAGAGCCGCTGGTGGTTACCGGGGGCTGTGAGCTGCCCGGCCGGCGGCCGCCGCGACTGACCGTCTCTGTCCCGCTCCCCGGGGGCTGAGCTGTGGCCGCGGACCTGCTGAGGGGGGCGCGCGGCCCGGCCCGGCCTAACCTCCTGCCCCCGGCCTCCGCCCGTCACTGTCTCCCGGGCCCGGGCCCGGCCCCGGCACAGCGCTGAGCGGTGGCCGTGAAGCGGGCGTCATGGAGCAGTCTAACAATGGCTTACCCCGTACGCCCAGGGGCTGTCGTCGCCGCAGGTCAGTCCGGGGCTGATGGGTGTGTTTCAATGTCTCTCCACTGAAGGCCTTAAATTCACACCAACTGTGAGGGGTTCCCGGGAGGCGGTACACACTGAGCGCGGGATAGCCCGTCAGGAAAGAGGTCTTAAACTCCCAGCAATCCGCCCACTTCCTCCAGTCGGCAGCCACTGCCCCGCTTCATGTCCCGCACCCTTCCTGCACCATCATCAGTGGTCGGTCTTTCAGCCTTTCTGTCCCCGTTCTCTGGAACCTGTAGGTCAGTGGTTAGAGCACTCACCTTGAGAGCGAGAGACCTGGGTTTGATTCCCGGAGGGTGAAATGTTGGGCAAGTTTCCTTACTCCACACGCAGTAATAATAATAATAATAATAATAATCCTTGCATTTGATATAGCGCTTTTCACGTCAGGAGGACGTCCCAAAGCGCTTCACAGAACACACTGTAAAGTGAATTGACTGTATATTTGTCGGCGAACGCGGCAGCCAATTGCGCACAGCAATGTCCCACACACAGTCGTAGATTGAAAATGACCAATTTATTATTGTTTTGGGTTTTGGAGGGATTATTATTAGGCTCTGTGTGGAGTAAGGAAACTTCCCCAAGGTTTCGCCCTCTGCCTGGAATTGAACTCAGGTCTCTCACTTGCAAAGCGAGTGCTCTAACCACTGAGCTACAGGACTCCAAAGTAAGAACCTGGTTGTTAGTCAATTGGCGGATTGCTTTTCTGGGGATAATAATTCCTTCAAAACAAATTGGTTACTTCGATCCACGACTGTTTGTGAGACACTGCTGTGCGCAATTGGTTGTCGCGTTTCGCCTACGAAATATACAGTCAATTCACTTTACAGTATATTGTATGAAGCGCTTTGAGACATCTCGAAGACGTGATAAGGCGTTATATCAAATGCAAGGATTATTATTTATTATTAACTCCGTCCCAGAGAACCTTTTCCTCATGCCTTCTCTCGGCTTCCAAGTCTGACTCAAGACATTCCTCTTTGATCTTTCCTTCAGTTATCTCCCTCACCTCCACCCCTCCTGAATGCGACCCACTGCTCAGGTGCAAACCCTCAACTGTCCAATGCCTTGGGAAGTGAAAGGTGCTATATAAATATATATAATAAAATGTTTAAATACAAGCTCTGCTGCGTGCAGAGTTGATGTAGATATGCCGTGTTTCCTCCACAAAATATCCAGTCAATTTGCTTTACAGTATATTCTGTGAAACGCTTTGAGATGTATCAACGATGTGATTTCAAATGCAAGGATTATTGTTGTTGTAATCCTGATAATTGTATTTATTACAGCACATTTCATGTGAAAATATCTTAAAGTGCTTTCTAAAATGTAATAGATTGTGAATGAAGTGGATGTAGTTTTTAGGCAAACATAACTTTGTTTTGAACAATTGGTGTGGTAGGCTTAACTTTGAGTGGATTTGAAAACACATTAACCCTGTTCTTGTTGGTTGTGGCCATTGCAGTGAATGAAGCAGAAAATGGTGTTTGTGGGTAAAATAAGTTGTTTATGTTTGATTCTTGTGTGTGTATAAACATTGTTAAAATGAACGCATTGCATATCTACATCAATACTTGAACAACATCCTTTATCGGAGCTTATTTTATGTAATTATTAATAATAATACTTGTATTTGACCTTATTAATAACAATACTTGTGCCTGACCTTATCATGTCATCACAGTATCTGTTTACACTTTACAGCAGTCACTGTGAAGTGATGTATTTTGTAAGTGAGTGTGACAGTCCTTTTTATCTGGGGATGATTGTTGGGCAGAACACCGGGAGAAACTCTTTTTTCGAATAGTGCAATGGCATCTTTACTATCCACACGAACAGGTAGACAGGACCTTGGCTTAATGCCTCACCTGAAGGACGCCACCTCTGACATTGCAGCAACCCCCAGTACTGTGTTGGAGTGTCAGCCTTGATCAAGTTCAAAGTCCTGACGTGGGGTTTGAACTCACAACTTTGACAAACAACAACAGCAACAAGATTACATTTGTATAGCGCCTTTCACGTCAGGAGGATGTCCCAAGGTGCTGGCCAGTGTACAGCATTTCAGACCTGAGCTGGGGTCAGGGAACGAGAAGGGAGGGGAGGGGAAGGGGGTGACAAAGATGCAAGAGTGCCATTGACTGAGCCAGGCTGACCCCTGAATAGAGGAGATATGATCAATCGATTGGCAGAGAAATTCCTTTCTCGAAGATTGTTGGTTTAAACCCCATATCCCACACTCTGGGACTTTGATCTCATAGTGTAGGCTGACACTCCGGGGAGTGCTGCATCGTTGGAGGTGCCAACTGAGCCATTAAAGCAAAGACCCATCTGCCTGGTCAGATTGTTGGGTTCAGAGGGATGGCCCGCGAGGAATTAACCACTCTGCTTCCCCTATCAATTGGGCAGCGTATAAACACACTGATTTGCAAGTGATTTTGATTTTGTCTCCCTCCATAGGCTGTAGATCTCCCGCACCGGGCTTCGTGACCCTACCACCCCCATCCTCGCCCGACTCCACTGGCTTCCCATCACACAGAGGATACAGTTCAAGATGCTGGTCCTCACCTTCAAAGCCCTCCATGGCCTTGCTCCCCCCCTACTTCTGCGACCTTCTAACCCCCTGCCAACCTGCCCGCTCCCTCCACTCAGCAGGCTTCGGCCTGCTTCACGTCCCCCCATTGGCGGGTGGTCCTTCTGCTACTCTGCCCCCACCATCTGGAACTGCACCCCACAGTGCCTCCGCCTCTCTCCTCTGGATTTCCCATTTCCCGTTTCTCCTCTGGATTTTCCATTTCTTCCAATTTCTCCTCTGGATTTCCCAATTCTTCCAGTTTCTCCTCTGGATTATCCATTTCTTCCAGTTTCTCCACTGGATTTTCCATTTCTTCTCGTTTCTCCTCTGGATTATCCATTTCTTCTCGTTTCTCCTCTGGATTATCCATTTCTTCTCGTTTCTCCTCTGGATTATCCATTTCTTCTCGTTTCTCCTCTGGATTTTCCATTTCTTCTCGTTTCTCCTCTGGATTTTCCATTTCTTCTCGTTTCTCCTCTGGAGTTCCCCATTTCTTCTCGTTTCTCCGCTGGAGTTCCCCATTTCTTCTCGTTTCTCCGCTGGAGTTCCCCATTTCTTCTCGTTTCTCCGCTGGAGTTCCCCATTTCTTCTCGTTTCTCCGCTGGAGTTCCCCATTTCTTCTCGTTTCTCCGCTGGAGTTCCCCATTTCTTCTCGTTTCTCCGCTGGAGTTCCCCATTTCTTCTCGTTTCTCCGCTGGAGTTCCCC